TGAAAGCAGCAAACCAAAATTAATTAGTACGACTCTAATACTCTCATTAAGAGATTTGTTGATATACACAAAAAAGTGTCTTTAGATTTCTGACTACGGAATGTTCTTAAATGTTGATTTATTGACTAAATTTTGATAATCGATAGAAGTCAATCTCCACTTAACTATTACTGAGAATGTTCTCAAATGTACTTAAAATCTTCAAAGCTTAACGCAAAATTGATTTTCTGAACTGATATTTTGGATTAATCATGATTTTTAAAGCAAGCTTCTGTTCTTGTAGACAAAATTCGTTTTTAGTATGGTTAAGTAAAATATGTATCAATATGAAGTTTTAGACAGTGACTCACCACTCAAAGTAAGTTGAAAAATAAGTGATTCTGACTGACTCGTATCCCTCACTCTCAAACTGTAACAAGTCATTGCTTTTCTTTTATATCTTTCAGTGATTTCGAATTCCAAGTCTATGTAACAATGTAATCTATCAAGCATCTTTAATGTGTAAGTATGTTCATCATATAAGTTGGAAATTGTAAATCGCATTATTTTGCCGTGTTTCATATATCACACCAGAAATTGTTATTCTTCTATTTATCACTGATTATTATTAGTGATGCCACTAAATAATTGATGCTGAGATTAGAATAAAAAAATTAGATTCTTCGACAGTAAATTACTGAAAAATTCCTGAAAAACTATACCATGTATTTAGATTATGTCCACATATTTAGTTCATTTGTGAGTTTATATTTAATATGTAGTAGCTTATCATTAATTAAATGTATGTATAAAGCCTAATCGATCATGCTAGACTATGGTGCACGTATAACAGATCGATAATAGTTGTAACGCATTTAGATAACTGGCTGATTTTCTCTGACATTTTCTTGTTTTAGGTTGTAATACAGATTTGGTCATAGATAGCTAATAGCCAAAATAAATAATACTATCTAGTGTGCCTTTTCATTTATTCATTTATTTAAAACTTTTAAAACCACTTAATAAATAGAAAACATTCAGAACTAAATGCGAATTTCTCTCAAAGGTTATATATTCTGCGTCATAAAGTCATTTCCAAACATTTCATGTGCGTACCACATTATATAGTATTAGTATTAAATCTCAATAATTGTGTTAATTCAGATGATCGAAATGTTCACAATAATGAGCTTTTTCTTGTACTCTTGGATATGTAGTAGATGGTATTCAACTTATTCAAAATAAACAACTCTATTTATCGCATTGTACTCACATAATAATGTGTATCTAAGGTTTCTAAATATTTTTAAAAGTCAGATGTGGGTATAATCATTTCTGTAATATTGTAACAAATGGAAAACAACGTGTTCGAACAAAATCGTTCATTTTAACTAAAAAGTTAGAATGATTTCTTTTACTTAATAATTTTATAAAGCAAAAATGATATTGAGGTTAGCTAGAAGCATTATTGTCAAATTGAGACAAAATATTAGGGTATTCATGATATAAGGGAGTCATTTTCTTTCATCTGTTAAACGCGTAATACTGAATTTAGACCAAAGTTGGATAGTGACTACATAAATTCAGGATGATTCATTATTTCCACATAGTTTCAAAAAAGTGTGTTAATAGACTTGTTAACTAGAGAAAAAAATTTAAACATAACTGGGGCTTAAAAACCTTGAATTCTTCACATTCATAGATAGCTAGAGATATATCAACCATGTTTATATCAAACCTGTGAAATAGATATAACATATCTCCTTATTAAAAGATTTATTCTAAGAAAGCTTTTATTTGAAATATGAATTTCATACGAGGTTATTTGACATATTCTTTAAAATTGAAATCAACATACAGATTATCGATTCAGTTATTCAACATTTCGTCATTTTAACACTCATGTTTAGCTCCGAAAGGCCCCTTAGCTCATGTTTATTTTAAACTATTTCTAAGTTGCAATTAATCATTCCTGTGATGCGATACAGAAACATGAACATTTTTTTCAATACACTGATTACCTAGATAGATTTTTATTTCATCATTCAAATTCACAAATTAGAAGGAAGACCTATGGACTAGTTACATTGATAAAGTAGCTGCATACTATAAAAGGCAAATATTGGGCTTAGCTGAACTATTGGAAATGCACAAATAAAAGTTGTCTACCTGTTGTGTTGTTCTATTTTGGTGGTCAGGGGAGTAATTGTGAGAAAACTGCATTCTGGACCAATAGTTGTCAAGTATTTATGTCGGTTGTTACCTCATTATCATAGTGTCACTGGTTATTAGACAGTAATTAGCCCTATGTTGGAAATGAAAGCGAAATTATCGATAATCTGACTAAATCATACAATTCCTGATATAATTACGGGCTTCAGTACAAAACAAGAAACCTATTCTTTTTGACGTAATACCTTTAAGAAGAGAATTTTAAATTATTGATCCACTACTATTTAGATTTCGTAATCCAGTCAGCGTTGATCCAGTTATTGTTATTAGTTCATTTTAGCTCACAGGATCTAGGAAAACAACGTGGTAGGTCTTGATGAAAAACCATCTTAATATTTATACATATGACTCATATTCGTTTTGCTTGTTAGTCAGTCCGTGCCAGCCTACTTATTAATTCACAATAAAACACAAACTATTAACAAATGTTGTTATTTTATGTTATTGTTCGTAAAACTACAATATTTTTAAGTAGGTATTGGTAGCAGACAGAAGATAATGTCCTTCAGTTGTTGTTCCTGTTTTACATAGATTATTTATTAAATGAAAGCTAAAGGAGATATAAGAGTTCTTCAAAATAAATGGCGAAGTACTTGTGCAACTTGCGAAAACAGTTTAGTTACAACTTTCCTTGTTTAGGTCCACTTAACCGATGATTATGGTTTACAATCTTTGTTTACTAAAAATTAGTTTTTGTATCGTATTCCATGACTTTCGTTAAATGTAACTCCCAAGTCTTTTCTAAAATAGGCAGTATAACACTCGCTTTGCCAAAAGCTCCATCAATGCCTGGTCCTATGTTCAGGATGATAAAGGAGGAGAGTACCGTAGAGATTCAATAGCCAAATAACTAAAAAACTTTGCTAGTAAATATTTAAAACAAAACTCTTGCTCTTCGTTCAAGTAACTCCGGCTACTGCTAGCCATAAAGAAGTGAAATACACCATTTTTCAAACAACCACATTATTTGATCCTTCTGTTATGCAACCTCTAAATAATTTACGATACATTATGTACTATGTTTAGCAGCTCTTTTTTACTAAGTGGTTACTGGATATTAGTCAGTATCATCCTATCCAAAATCAAACTTTTCTAACCACATTTAGGGTATGGGTCCAGATACGGATGACAACATTGCAGCTGGCTGTACGTTGTTTTTAATGGTTGAGTTGAGTAAACCATACGACTGTCTGTTCTTCCCAAACTGTCGATGCCTTTACAATAATGTATCTGCTAACTTTAAGAAAACATTTCTCAAAAGACGTTGTTAGTGAGTGGTTCATGGTTAACATTATATACATAACAAGATATAATGTGCACAAGTGGAAAGATATTAACATTACTATAAAAGTACAAATCAGACACATAGAAACTAACTATTTGACCTAGAATTTAAAAAATTTTCTACAGGAGAAATAACACTATTAGTTACGGGGGTACATTGGAAAAGAAGCGTTATTTAATACTCATGGATCTACATTCGTAAATATATTTAACGGGTCCAATTTTTAATAGTCAGTGAAATATATATACATCGAAAAATAGTAGTATAAGGTACAATTACCGGATACAAATGTAACGATATAACATTATTAACTTTCTAGCCTGAGTCTGATCATGATAAATATTGAGATAACAAGTATTCTCCTGATGATAACAATATCATGTAAAACTGTTCGAAAATATTAGAATATTTAATAACATTGCTCGCAAGCCTTTACAATTAATGTGTATTATTCATGTTGGTATTTAGTTAGTTCTAAATAAAATCTGATTTGTTTTGGGCATGAAACCAATGTTTACAAATCTTTTGTTTATCATCTTAATACTAGACTATTAGTTAGATATTTAATATTAACACTATTTAATAAGTTTAAGACTGTTTCCGCTCAAGAACTATTACCGATAATTTTTTCAAATTTCGATTAAACCTTAGAATACTGAGTCGAAATCACCACCACAGATTGAAAGTTATTTGTTAACCAAAAAACTCAGGTCTATGGATTATTGGAGATACCCATAAAATAATAGAGTAGCTTCCTGATGAAACTAATTTTGTGATACTTTTCAGGCATTTCAGTTTGTATCATACATTATCAGTTAACCAGTTAGTCTACGGTAAGCCACCTATTTATCAGTAAATGTTATGAAATAATTTTCATAAAAACTTTATTACTGCCAATTAAAGACTGAACAGAGTTATTTCATCCGTGCCAAAGAAGTAATTGAAAAGATCCAATAAGGACGATTCCTGCACCCTTCTCTGGGCGACTAGCTTAATTAAAATTATTTAGAATTAAACGAATCCTATTTTGTAGTACTTCTATATTTCATAATTAGACTTGATGAAATTTGACTTTGATCACTCGAGTTTTGTAGTTCAGTTAATAAATCCTCAAAGGAGTAATTTTAAACACCGTTCATTCAAATTCATATGAACCTCATACCTTTTTTTCACTTAATTCACATCAATTATATTGATGATAAATTTCATTAAAAATTCAGTAGATTTTTAAAAGTTTCAATCGGAATTAAAATATTTAGCTTTTCGCTTGAAAGTCTGATGTGAAATCCATATGGAAGTAATAAAAAAAAACAACAACAAAATTAACTAATATAAATATATGGTTCATAAAATGACTATATTTTAAACAGTTGTCTTACTATGTTGATATGCTGGATTTGGAATCTGTGTGAAGATAAGAAATTTGGTGTGAAATTCTATGAAATTCTGGTAAGAAAACAAATGTATCTGTACGTAGATCTGATGCGGAAAGATCATTGATCATATGGTTGGTGATAAAGGTACTCAGTCTGACAGATGTCATAAATCGGACCTATCACAGTATGTACAGAGAATAAAAAATAAGTGTATCTTTGTGTTGTTGTGTTAAACATATATAAACGTACATAATAACTGACTGGAACGAATGGATAGGCGTCTTCTTTTACATAACATCAGATAAAAGGGAATTAGTAAAATAAATTCATATTTACTTTATTGAACATTAAATCCTGAGGTGCAGCTAAATATGTTCCATCTCTTCTATTTGTATAGTTTGCGATTAGTCATATATGTACGCGTATTCCATAAATTCAACTCCCAACTTCTGTGAAGCTATTTGTTAAAATGTCAAAGTGAAGAAAGCTAGTATCAAATAAATTCGATTATTACATTTGTGAACACTAATTTACTTCTCTTTACTCAGTTAAATACATATTAGGACGAAACTGAAGACGAAATTATCTGAGGCAAATCGTGGTTACTGATTAATTCATAGAACACCTTGGCGTAACACTCGAAAAATCTACTGAATTTGTGTCTTAGTACAACTGATACCATTTAAAGTTATTTAAAGCAGCCTGATTTTATGCGTAAGTTTTATGAAATAACAGTTATTGTACAAGAAGATCATCTTTATCGGCAAATAACATGATAATTTTGTAGATCAGTGGCCTTTTAAAAATAAATCACGATATATTCAGTTGAAAATATTTTTGTGATCTAGGTTTCACCATAGCAATTAAAACCTATAAGTTAAAATTATAATAACGTCATGTAATCAATTACAAACCAGGCTACAAAAATCGTATCACATACATGTACACCTACGTGTTGCAAATTTATCATGAAAGTATTATAAAGTATACTTTTCCTTACCAAAGTACTGGAGTTTATGATCTTCTTATTGTAATGTGTTTTTTTGACATAAGGATAAATCTAATGCGATAAATACCTCTGAAACTTAAAATACGTATCGGTGTTCATCCCACTTAGAAGAAATTGATAGGAATACCTAGAAATTCACTAGTTATACTGATCCTCATCCAATCGATTGCTATTGTTTTATGCAAACATTTATTTTTCCGGAAAGCGAAAATATTTTTTGTTGCATATTAGTTTTCCACTATCTCTCGTATGACTCAACACTTCAGTATGGACTTTACACGCTGTATTATGCAATACAGGTTTGGTATAAAAGTCAACTAAATTACTCTGTGAATGCGGACTGATTTAATCTGATGAACAAATAGGTGAAATTCAAATGTCTAGATACATAATAAAGCAACAGAATCTTATTATAATGGATAACTCACTTCGAGCATCATTAATCACAAAAAAATAATGATAGGATATTTTGTCAGTATCTGTAAGAAATAATTTGTATTGCGACGTATCAGTTACACTGACTAAACTCTCAAAACACGGCTTCACTTTCCAATAATAAAGTTTCTAGTCAAATCAAATCAAAAGTGTTTCAGTATTATGAATGACTAATAACAAAGCACAGAACTAATAGGACATAAAATCTGAGAAAATTCACATTCTTTTACTTCCTGTTCGCTAAAAAAGTATTTCATTGACTGTTAAACTAGAGATTTTCGAGACATAACTTTTACATAAAAACGTTCTTACTGGTTGTTTGGTTTCATTGATTTGTGTTTTTTTTTCACTAGATAAAAGTAGCTTTCTATTCAAATTTGTATCAAGTAATTCTGCTAACAATGTGTTCGCGCATAAGCAACTATCATTCTGTTCTTTGTGTAATTGGTGGGATCATTATTCAATGTACTTACGGGTACTTTTATACAATCGGTACTGTTTATATACACTAATGTTTTAATTAAACCACTGATTATATTATGTAGGTAATATGGCTCCATACATTTTGGACTATTTTCAATACCATAATAAGTCAATTTATGATAATTCCATCATGTGGTTGACATCAGTTGCTTTAGGAATGGAGGCATTAGCCATGCCAATTGGTGGAGCATTGTACCGTAAATTAGGAATCAGAGCAGTGGTAATAATTAGCAGTTTAATCCATAGGTTGGTGAAAATATTTTTCTGGATTTTTTTGTCGTTATCGGTATTTATTAATATGTTTATTATAAAAATCATTTACTTAAGAAGTATTTATTGTTGGCTAAGCGAAATAAGAAATAATTCTAAAAATAATTTTGACATTAAACCCAAATGATTACAAATATCAATTTAACTGATGTTAAATTTATATATAGTCGGGAACCATCTTGGTCAAAGTGAGTTTGTGTGGTTCCAAAACTTGGTCAGCATTTGTTATTCAGATAACTAAGTTCGATGACAGCATTTTTAAAAAGATTCAGCTCACACATATGAAAAAGTAATGCTCACCAGTCAATACCATGGATTTGTTGAACAGTTTGAATCGTAGATACTGGCGATTCACGTATTATTGTTTTAGCATTTTAATATAAGTGATTGCTGAATTAATAACTCATACTAAATAAGAAGCATTCTCTGCAGTTATTACATGTTGCAATTGAAATTCAGTAAATTAAGTGAGAAATATTCTTTCAATATAATGGGATTAGTTAAGAAGAACCATGGATTAATCAACGTTGATATAATTGTTTCTTCTCAACACAAGAAGTTAGAAAACACTTAATAGTTAGTCTGAAACGTTTTTTGCATTAACCCCTATAAACTAAAGTACATCCTCTGAGTATTCCTATGAGTCAAACGATGGAAAAATTAGCCATTCATTCATGTTTACTACTTCTCTATTTGATATATCACTATCAGTCAGAGTGCTAAGTGACATGAATATTGTGCACGCTTTCAGACGATTCTGAAAACAGTCCTGTTACTCGATGGAAATGAAGGAAAATATGGTCTAGAAATTTGAATAATTTCAGTTTGTAAGTAGGACAAAACATTCATTATTCAATAAAGCATCTCACATTCAAATTCACGTTAGCTGAACAGAAGTCATCTTAAATGACATTTTTACTTCTGTAAGTACGTAACTCTATAGTTAGTTATTATTCCAGTCTAAATGTGTATTATTTGGATAAATCCTAACAAAGTATATTTGTTGAATAGCACATATAACCAAGAAAGGTATTCTTTATGTTTTAGCGGAGGAATCACCTTGAGTTATTACACACTGAAGTTGGGATTCATTCCATTACTGATTACTTATGGTGTAATGCAGGGTTTCGGGTTTGGATTCGGTTATTCAGCTACTATAGCTGCATCAATTGCAGTAAGTTAATGAATTGAAAGTTGTACTCTTATGTATAATAACTAGTGCCAGTTCTACGTCGTAATGTCTATGATGAGGTTATTTAGAACGGTAATGAAAAATTTCAAAATAAATCTGCTATCTTAGAAAACGGATGAAGCTTGCAAAAGTCAGTCTGTCAACAATTAGCCGACAAATCACGTTGCACCAATATATCAAACCATTTGAAAAAGTTCAACCAACAACTTGATGAAAAGTCAATGGAACAAAATAATGGACTGGAATAAACTGGAAACTGGAGACACTGAAATATACGAGGACAAGCATTCACAATCATGCTCACCGGAACAAAATGATTGAAGACTCGTAGAACAACTAAGAAGCTCACTTCTACATAAAGTAAACAAAGTGACTATGAAAGTTCCACAAATATACCATCTAGCTCAGAGAACTCGACAATACTAAAGGAATCTATCCGTGTCTCAAATCTCTATCACGTTTAGTTATATTTGTGCTTGAGTCATTATCTTGTAAGGGTTTACGTACCAGCTCAACACGTCGGGAATTGAAGAGGTGTTAATTAATTTGTTTAACTAAATTAATTAAACATTGAGATGCATTAGCACGTATCAAAATTACAGGATGCTTTCCTTGTATGAAAATAAGAAATTTATTTAAGAGTCACTTTATATAGTTGATGTTGAATCACATTACTGCATGTTAATTTAACACTTTTTGGTAATAGTGTTATATCCGAACAAATTATTTATGAACTATTAATACATAAACATGTTGAATAATTATTAAGTAACTAGATTTTATATATATATATATATATCCGTATTCCTTTTATCATAAGCTTTCATTTGACGTATTGGCTACTGTTGTACGATTTAGTATTCTTAATTTATTCCCAATCTGTTAGTTACAGTCCTTAACACTCACAGCCATTTTTGGCTTGATGTTGCATAAATATTATTTTTCATTTTCTGGCTTTATGCGGTCTGATTTGCTTATATATAAACCACGCATGTCTGAAATATACGATTCATACAGTGGAAGCTGAGATTGTTTTCTAGACTTAATGGGCAAGGTTTAGGTAGAAGGATCAATAGGGATTCAGAGTTAACACAAGGCTGCTAGTGTTGTTTTGACGTGTCATTGACTTAGCACAAGAATAAAATCATATAAGTCGGTATTTGGATTGGCGACTTTGTCACATGATAATTAACAAGGAAAATGTCATAACAAACAGATTACTCTTGCAGTTAAAGTATAGCATGATACAGTTAGACGTTTATCATTGTTTTTGTATAGAGTTCATAACCACAGTTGACGTTGATTATAAACATTTTTTGTCTGTATTGACTTCTTTACTTATCAAGAATTTATTTATTGCTATTAATCTATTTTATACGGATGTATTATCGAATAATTAATAGGATCCGTGAAACGAACATTATTTCGATACTCTATCCCATGATTCCATTAGTTTTCATAAACCTATAGATTAATGTATTACTGACGGATGAATCATTTCCACATGCCCTTTGAGTTATATTATACATAGTTTACAATAAACGAATGAAAACATTTAACACGGTAATCAAAGAAATATTAATAAATTTTTGTGTTAAGGTGCCCAAGCTTGATTTATTACACTGACATCAGACACCAAGTTTTAAAAATATGCATATTTACTTTGTTCTCCTTTTCATCAGCTGTATTCCTATATTCCCATCAACAAGAATGTTTCTGATACTTTGTCTTTCTTATATTCAATAGTGGTTTCAAAACAATCGAGGTTTAATTGTTGGCCTAATTGTTGGTGGTTTCGGGGCTGGTCCCATCATCTTTACATCGATTCAAACAATATACATTAATCCAAATAATATCAAGACAGATGACAAAACAAAGTCAGTAAATATATTTGATAAGCTGAACATTTGACTGAAACATAGTGCACATCCTCACTTCCTAAAAGTAAATATTCATCTCTTAGTTGTTCAAGTATTCTAGAAGGACAATGTCACGATTTACCAGAGATAGGCTCAGGTCACTTTAAATAGTTTAGCTTCTTGCGAGATCTCTCATAAATTTCTAAATCATATAAATTCGTAAAAGTAACAACGCAAAGATCCAATTACCATAAGTTACAATTCCCAAAACGCTATTACACTAAAATAACTTCCATAACATTGAAAAACACTTATAAATTTATCAAGTACCGTGATAATGTGTACGACAAAATATTAAATATAAGACATCTACTATCACCACTACTACTAATACTACTACTACCGAACATATTATTGCACTTTCATGAATAAAATCCATCTGACTAAGAAGCATTCTATCAAATCAATGCCAACTATTTATGCAGGGATTCGTGAAGTTAGTACAGATCAAACAATTTTGTATGACCACTTTTTGAGCTCCGATTGGTCATTAAGAGTGTAATTCAAAGTTTTAAATAAATGAAAAAAAGGCCGGTTTTTTCCATATAAGTGCTCGATTCAGATTAATAAGGTTATGAACATTGAACAAAAATACACTTCTTTAATTTGTCAATCTACACTTTTTGTAATTTGATTTGATCAATCATAAGTTTCTTCTGAGTTCATATAAAAAAATCTCGATTTTTAACTGTTTATTGAAGTGGAAGATAAAGTTATTCTCCTATGTTATTAATAATTTACTGATTTACAACTGCTTACCAATTTAGTTAATTGTGAGATTTGCTTTTATATACAAGTAACCATGCAAAAGGAGCTATTAGTTATTACGTATGGTTCCTATTTATGCATTATTTAGAGCTCACATTCACCATAACATATTCTGTGATATGGATATTCTTTCCATTGTTTTAGACTGTAACATTCACTACATTTAGTTAAAGCATCACTTTGTAACAATGAATATATTTTTTTATCTTCATTCAACAGGCGATTTGTAGATGCTGATCTACTTAACCGTGTTCCTTCTGTGTTTCTACTTATTGGTGGTGTTTTGTTAGTTATACAGTTAACTGGGTTATATTTGATGAGAGATAAACAAAAGGTAAGAACACATTGATTAAAGGATGATGTAGAGATATCAAACAACCTTTTCACCTTGAAATGATATTAGCAGTACAGCAATTATAATATTGTATTTTACATACTGAACTATTATGATAGTTGGCTGGTTATTTTGAACAATTGATTACAAGAAACTTATCGTAATGCCATAAACATGTACAATCTTTTCTATTATCCATTCAAAAGTTTATAGGAATAATCGCTTTTAATGTATCCTACATGTTTGTGTTTAGTAGAAATCCCAAGACAAACAAGTATTCTAGTTTGCGAAAAATGATTTCCTGTTGTAGCTGAAATTGTTCAGTTTTTAAATTTTATTTATAATGTCATTTTATTAGTTTAATTTGACATCAATATTTATTTTCTTTATCTAAGAAGGCGATTGTTCTGTTAACGAATCACGACTTCAAAGATCCAGATAAGTCAGTAAGTTAAAATAGCTAAATATAAATTTCTGTATCTAGCAAACTTTATCAGTTTTGGATGTCTCACATTATTTTTTTAAAATGTCAAACACCAAAGTTTTTGCATAAACAAAAAATTACTTGAGAATTAGTTGCATCTTGTAATTTAGTTAACAGAAAAATAGGATTGTAGTCTACAAAGACTGTAAACCAAGCAACAAACTTCGTTCGATTGATGTTTTGACTACTCATTAGAACAGAATTCAGGTTATAAATTAATTTCCTTTGTATTCATTTAATAGAAATGCAGTAAGTAGTAAATTTCCAGTTATAATGAACTACAGTGAATAAAACTGTAATTTACACCAGACTGATTTAGTCAAAAGTAAATACTGCTTTCGCGTCAGAAAAAAAAGATAGTACCAGACTAAGCTTTAATAGATTTAGTGAAAGTTTAATTATATTGAATTAATATTTACTACATAAGTGGGTTTAATGTCTAAAAAGTCGTCTAGTCCTTTGATCACAAAAAATTGCAGGGAAATTTCTACAGAGTTAGAATGCAGGTTCAAAAATACCGTAAAATAAAAATGGTTATATTCTGTGAAATAAGCAGTTTCTAAGAAGTGCATTAACTTTGTCTCTTTATATAAAAATAAACATGAACAATGTCTCACGGTAGTAACTTAAAGCGTAATAATGTGGACAAGATAATTATGAATCAAAAAGTAAAGTAAAACTAAGATTTCTCATTATTTGAGTTACCCTATATTAAGTAAATAAAAGTATCATGTTGATCTCATAATAACTACATTTTCTGTTAATCATGCATCCTAATTCCTTTATTTTATATTATGTAACATTAGAAACAACCTCAGTCATTGTAACTAACAATTTTACAAATTTTTCTTTGTTGCTTAGCATGAAGTTCCACCTGTTATAAAGTAAGTTAACGGATTTTATTGGTGAGTTACTATTTGTCATAAATAAATGTTGTTGTAAATTTTGCTGCATATGTAAAACATTTGAATTTCGAAACACGACAAGGGAATGTAACGTGAATGCTAACAAATTTTCGTTTCACTTTCAAAAACGAGTAAACCTGCTTATTTAGTAATCGGTGAATAAGTCATACTTCTACGATAGTTTCATTTACAATCCACAACCTTGATCATTGATGATACTAAACTAGTTGACTTTTAACCGCCTCATAAATTCGCTCCATTATACATGATGGAAACATTTTGCAGTTATCAGGGATACTATTAATCTCAAGTTGGAACATTGCTGGCCATCAATAAGGTCTAATTTCGATTTATTTGTTTTTCTTGTGTATAAACTTATGTTTATAGAAACATGTATATAAATAATACTTCTGAATTACCAAATTTCATGACACGACCTCAAATCAGATCTTTAACCTACATCCATAATGTTAGTTTACATTTTTTAGGCGAACATAATCAAGGAACAGTAGATGTTACTTGGAAAAATAAATATTATCTTCAGTATCAGTTAACCTTATTTTTGTATTTTCTTAACGTATATTTTGTCTCATAAACTAGTCTCAATCCCGCAATAGACTAGACAATATGAACAAATTAGCTAATAAAACATTGAGATCCTGGTAGGACAACGATATTTACAACGTAAATGTATGACGGTTTATGCTTGAATCAAAGAGGATCTCATAGAGACTTCGACCACATTTTTCGAATCCCCGGACAAACGTTTGACGATAATACTTACTACCTGATTCTTATTGCGTGGTCTTTACAATCTCACTATCACTAACCTACATAAAGAGTAATGTCACATAATTTTATATTAAAAATACCTCGCAATAAACAGTGGCTCTATATGCTTTTTAATTCTCCATATGAGATATAACAAACAAAAACTAATCACCATCGTCATTGCTTCAATAGCTTGAAAAAGTCTCAACAACCTTCCACTCCGTTTTTCAAAAAGACATTGTAAGCTGACGCCAGCGCATTCTGGTGTAAGAAGCAATAAATTTGAGTTTGATTGGTTTGAAACGTCACCATTCGATACAAACACCTTACATCAAAAACATTAATGTAGACACGAAAACACTAGTAGACAATACCACAGGAAACACATGGGACGATCCAATACATAAAATCTGATTGACAGGAATGCAATATTTGAAGTGATCAAATCAAGAATGAACGGAAGTTTTGTTGGTTAAGCTGTCTATTAAATAAAAATGTATTAATAACATATTCTTGGAAATATCACCCTATAATGTAGAATATTTCTTACAGATCTTTAGGATGTGAAGCAAGGTGAGTAATGGGCTGTTCTTTAGTTATCATTTATAACTCTATAAGGTTAGATTTTTCTTCGCATTTGCCGATGTCTGATTGAAACTGAGACGTATTTTTGTTAGAATATGCAAAACAACATCTATGTATACATTACTGGGCCAATGTGAATTAATAACAATTTAATCCTTGCTTGCATGACTCAAACTCCCACCGTCTACAGAGGTATGAAATGGCAATTGTGATTAAATTAAAAATTAGGACGATAAAGAAAATCAGAATGGCAAGTGTCGTATTTTGCTCTTAACACTGAAACAATCTTTCACATTGATAATTTATCGAAAAGTAATCAATGTCATTAGTCAAACTTTAACGAGTTTGGCGGTTTGATACCCATCAAACGATTTAAAACACCGCATTTTATAACATTTCAAATCCCTGGTGAAAAATAAGTTACATAGTTTCTCTAAATATAGTTTATCTACCTATTATTGAAGTTCAAAACCTTAATCTTTACAGTTCTTGTCTTTGCTTATCTTCTAATCATGCAAAACCAAGTATTAAAACTTTAATACACTTAGATCACTATTAAATTACAAGTCATTCGTTCAGCCTTATGTCGGTGTATTTATGTACTATGTTTACATTTCAGGGCTATTAAAAGTTCTATTCTTTTATTTAAATAGTAGTACTTGCACAAATTCAATTAGTTGTAAAATCGATATGATGCTCAAGAATTAGGCCTAAAAATTATGTCTTAACTTGTATGAGATTAACTTCCTCCATTCGTCCGTAATATTTGATCAACTTTGTTTTGTATCGATATTTTGTACATAAGCACTCCATCTTATTAGACAAAAAACTACAGCTTTAGTTATTGATTTTGCCTTTGATTTCGATTCATTTTGAGGCTTACGTAAATAATTACGATTTCGTGAACAGTCAGCGTCCGGCCAGATCGTATCATTGAGATCCTTTCATCCGAATCCTGAAAAAATTCATTCATCAAATCACTAAAATCCTACTCCGTAATAAGATCTAATTTATCCTTGACTTTTATCATTACATTAAATGAAATAAGAAATCCGATAGACAGCTGACCACATATGAACAGTTGATTAGCTATTCCGAAGCAATTATTCTACGTTCATACTGAGAATTCGCAGTTCAGTTTTTATGACATTGTAACCGATCACTTTATATCGGTACTCAGGAATTACCTGTGTTATGTGGGATGCACATGTTCATATCTTGGAAATCTATATATTATTAATCAGGTGTTGATCTTAATACATTCTCAACTTCTAAACATCACTCATCAAATATCAAAGTATAATGTATAGCGTGACAACTCTTTAAGAGGCATATTTAATGCACTTTATACTAGGATTCGACTAGTGCCATTTAATACCGAAATACAAGTCATTATTCCAAATATAAAAAGCTGGATTATGTTACTGATCAATATCATGAAATGTCGTCACAGCTACAAAATATACCAAATAATAGAACATCAAACGATTTGTTTCATTGTAAATATCAATTGAATTAAATAAAATGGTTTGTAATTGTTAAGCGTGTTTATTTTTCTTGACAAAGTTCAGTAAATTTACGACCTTTGGAATTATTGAAACAGAAAGAATTTTATTTTTTATGGATCATTATATTTTGTGCTGGAATGCCTTTGACATCGTTGGCAACACTTTTCAAGGTTAGACATATTTCTTTAAAATCCAGTAAGGTTTGTTGTTCTATTTGGTTTAAACTGATTTTGTACAGAATTCTGATCAGCTACTATGGATAAAACATGTGATACCGTTTTTTTAACATAATCAATAAAATAGCAATCTTGATTTATGGTATTTAGGTTTGCATAGAAACTAAAAGTGTTGAATCAAATTTTGGCTATTATATTGTACAGTTAGAATGCAATTTACACTAGTCACCTTTAGCAAAATACTTGTTACTACGTGACAGTACCCAGCCAACCTGTTCAGAATGCATATTTGTCAGAAACGACAAATTAATTGCATTCCTATATAGTAGTGACGGGAAAATTCAATTATGTACAAATAATTTGCATCCGTCAGCATTATCGGAAAAATCGGTGAATATTAACTGTGTCTAACTTACAATGTTCTCTGGATTTGAACAATTACTACTCATATATTAAGAGGACTGCGGTTATCAGTGATTACAGTGAAAGGCAGTGTGCATGCAAATAAAAAGATTTGTAAAATTAAAAAGTCAACAATAGATTTTAATGTAAATAGGATAAGTTAAATGTTTTAGTGGCAGTAATGAAAGGTAATAGAAGGGTTAAATGAAATCAAGTGGTTTCAGAAACAACTATGGATAAAGTCATGAGGCTATAAGAAATGATCTTTCATTGTAAGTATTTTCATTTCATAATCTAATATTATAACCTTCCTACTACAGTATTACGCTTATTCAAAAATCAACAATTATCATCGCAAGAATTATGTTTTTAGCCTAGCGACAAATTATATCACAATTCAAGGTTGAATTATAGTCATTATTGGTGAGTATGCTGTATTAAATAAAAAATAAATTGAGATTCCTGGTAAAAAAACAATATAAAGAATATTTAAACATTGTCTATTAACTAATTAACTTTTGACCCATTTTATCAAAAACTGATGAGAGTAAACTGTATCTTAATAAAATTAGTAAAAAAATTTTATAGACTATACATTCAAATATTTCAAATCTTTCACAAACAATAAATTTTGGATTAAACAAAACTGAACCTTTGTTTGTTTGTAAATTTAAATGTCTCATTAGGTTTGATGATATATTAGGATTGAAATGGAACTAGTAGGAATTAAAATATTCATCCAAATATTAATTTCATTCATACATTTACAATCCATCGCCACAGTGAAAGTTAAATATCAACGTTTTTCACTATGTTTCTATAATAATACTAATAGCAACTAACCTACATTCAACCAAAAAACTTCGCTTGAATGGATGAAACTATTTGCTTATCTAAACCTCACCAATCAGCCTTATCTGATAGATATGGTAAAGATGAACTCTGATTTTAGTCTTACCCCACTTCATTTTTTCCTCTTAAACTACTGAGTAGAGCGGATTGTATATGACTTATCATCAAGTAGTTATCGGCAATGTGCTGGTAAAAATCGATGCACTGATTCACAATGACAAGCCACCAAAATCAGAGCAAATTGATGACTGAACCAAACAAGAACAAAAAATATTTGCAGAATACGGAAACCTTATTGCACTTCGTTAACTTCTCTGTAGCTATGTAGAAGCTAACAAGTTTAATTATTTCCAAATATTAACATAACATCCGATCTGAAGTAATGAACTATCATTCGGTTATTGGAAATGTAAAAAAGATAATAAGTGAATTTTTAAAAAGGTTTTATTATTATTATTATTCAAAATGATAGTTTCAGAATACGTGAGAAAATATTATAGCATAATGTAACAAAATTTTTAGAAAGTTTAGAAAGAAAAATGGGACGTACGATTTTAATTCTCTAGAGTGTGATTTTCATCAACTGGAAAAAAAAGAAAGGATTGAAAGCCTTAAGTTGCTTCTGTTCCCAAGCTAGTTGAAGACTAACCACAAAGGTCAGCCCTTTAAATATTATGGACGCTGTGAATCTTGGAAAGACAGTATCAGATTGTTTATTGATTGATTTAATACATTCAATGAATTAGCATATAATTCTTAACATCTTTTTAAATCCCAGTCAACAGATTCCTTACTAATAATCAAATTTTCAACATTATGTTAATAACTGGAAATAATTAAACTCACCAGCGTTTATGTAGCTGAACAAAAGGCTACAAAATAAGATCTTCATATTCCGCAAGTACTGCAATTCGTCCTTGGTTTAACTTCGTGAAGAAAATCAATTATGTGAAAAATCGATGACCGTTTTGATTGCACTTACTTTTAACAATTGACTTTTACTCTCGGTGACACTAGTAAGATGATCTATCAATGATAACTATTAAGAGATTTTGGGTTATATGTAACCGACATGCTGATTTAAGTAAAGCTATTTTCTAATGACTGCCAAATCGATAGTTTATTCTGAATGAAGTTGCAGAACCAGTGAAGATCAGAAATCACCAAGCATTTTTATGGACTTCTAAACAATTTCTGTTTTAAACGAGTTCGCTAAGGTTTGTATAAAAACCTTCCCTGTACTCAAAACATTTTAGGTAAACTTCTCCATAACTGCTACATTTTCAATAGATTCTATTGATGCATCAGATGAAAGAACCGATGTTTCCAGAAAATTACACTTAATATAAAGTTGTGAATCATAGTTACTTGGAAATGGGAATGACAGTTCTTCAACTTTAGTTATTTTTATTAAGTAAACGATCCATACATTTTATGGTAATATTTCATAATAGTAAATTTAACTTTGTAAAAGCACTTAAAATAAGACAAACTGATCTGTAAACGTCTTTGACATTTTGATGTCAAACTGTTTAATTAATTTGATGTTTACCAGTGATTCTGTAAACCTTAGATTTCTTTGAGACAATTGGAATAGTCACTTCGTAACACCAGGAATAAGTTGTTTTCTATAATAAAAATCTTTGTGTTTTATCTGATTGCTTTTCCTATTGGAATTTTTATGACTGTTGAAAGATTTAAAAATCCATACTTAAGTGAGAACAGCATCCCCAATATTTAACAGAATTAATAATGAACATTGATTTACAATTTTTCAGCTTTTTGGTAAAACTCATATTAACGATGACAGATTTCTTGCTATTATGGGTGTCGTTGCGGCTGTATTTAATTCCGTCGGACGTGCTTTCTGGGGTGCTATCAGTGATCGTATTTCGTTCAAGGTAAATTTCTAAAGTTTTTTGTTCATTCTGAAGTTTAGAATATCTTATTTATAGAAATCATTACCTCAACATTTGTCACACACTTTACACAAAACCTAAACTTCACTGTTTACAATAAAATTCCTTTATAATCAGAATATTATTTTTGACTGATTGATTCTTAATGAATTTCCTGCTCGCTGAGCATGAAATTGTTTGTTGCTTCTCGAAATCAGCCAAACAAATCAGTGTTTACTCAGTGAGCTGTCTATAGTTATCATTGACTGAATCGAAACAATAATTACTTATACCTGTTACCCCTCGTGAAGGAGCATAAATCGTTCAACAGGTTTCTACGTCATACTCTGTTCTGAGAGATAATTCTTTCCAGTCACTACCCATTCTTCTGATGTCTGCTTCCAACTCAGCCGTAATGTGTTCCCTGGTCTTCTTCTTTCTGTTTCCCTTCGGGATTCCAAGTTGTCGCTTGCTTCGTGGTGCAGTTTGATGATTTCCTTAATATATGTCCTATCCACTTCAAGCGTCTTTTTCTAATCTCCTCCTCAGCTTGGAGTTAGTTTGTTCTCTCCCAAAATAGGCTGTTGCTGACAGTATTCGGTCAATAGACGTTGAGTATCTTACGTAGACAATTGTTTATAAATAATTGTATTTTTTTGATGATGGTTGTGGTAGTTCTCCAAGTTTCAGCTCCGCACAATATAACTAACTGTCTTGATGTTCAAAATGAAGGTTCTGACTTTGATGTGGGTTAACATTTAATTTGAGTTCTATATGTTCTTCAATTGTAGGAATGCTGTTGCTACTTTGTCAAACCTCGCATTTACGTTCGCATCAGATCCTCTATGTTTATCAATAGTGCTGCCTAAGCACGCATTAGTTTCCACCTCATTCAGAGCTTCTCTATCAAATGTGGTTGAGTTGGTGTTCTCTATGTTGTATTTGAGGATCTCGGCTTTTCCGTTGTGTATGTTCAGGCTTACTGATGCATAGGCTGCTGCTACACTGGCTGCCTTCACCGGCATTTGTTGGTGCGTATGGGATAGAAGAGATGTCATCTGCGAAACATAAATTACCAACTGTATCCAAGCTGTCCGTTGTATTCCGTGCTTCCCCTGAGAACCACAGGTCTTTCATGCCCGTTGTCTTTACAATCGATGACCGAGGAAAAATGAATTCAGTAAGAACTAGTACACAAATGTACTTGAATATATATTACAATAATTGGATTGACCACTATATGCAGTGGTAATAAATAATCAAAGTATAATAGCACCTAGTGGATAAGTAAAGCAAAGTAATGGTGGTTTTGGATTAACAGCAGAATTAGGTCACTATGTAACTGAACTGGATTTATCTTAAAGCTGGAACTTAGAATCATCAGCACTTGTATTAGAATGGAAATAGCTTTGACAATAGAACATCCAGTAATTGTATCTTGGTGAGATAAATCCAGGAATAAGTTACAATGGTCTAATTTGCATTATGTTGAAATAAATTCATAATGTACAGAGTGTCAATCAGTCATCTTGTCTCTGGTATTTATGAACCGATATTATAATGGAATATGACTGACAGATAGATAAATAGGGGACCGAACAAAGGAATATTTGAAAGATTTACCTTTAAGGTACTCGAATTAATCACCCAAGTGAGCACGAGTTAACCAATAAAGTTGAACTAATTTATTTGACAGTCGCTTGCTCAGCTATATATCGTATTTCAAAATGAATTTACGATCATCTAGCTGCATAGCCGTTGATTGCATTTCGTGTTTCTCTTGATATGTGGAGGTCTTTGTAGTCGAGCCGATCACCAAAAAATAATGAGAATGAGTGAGTAGCCTTGTTTGACACCGATCTCCACTTGCAACGAATCTGTTAGTTGTCCTTCGTGCATCACTTTGTAGTGTGGTCCGTCGTATCAATTATGGATGATGTTGACAACTTTGTGTCAAACAAGGTTCCATTAAGTTCTCCTATCAACGCTGTCAAATGCTTTCTGACAGTCAAGGAATTCGATGTATAGTGATGAGTTTCATTCAATTGATTGTTCAACAGTTATCCGTGGTGTCGCGATTTGAACTGCGCACGACTAATACTTACAGAATCCAGTCCGTTGATCTCGAAGTTGAGTGTCTACTGAATCTTTCATCCGGTCCAGCAACACTGTTGAAAACGTTTCTTGGTACCGATAGTAATGTGATGCATTTGTAGTTCTGACATTTGTTCAGATCTCCTTTCTTTGGTATCTTGATGCGGTATCCTTCTTTCCAGTCTGTTAGAACTTGTTCTTAGTCCCAAATCTCTCTGAATAGAACGTGGAGCATCTTTACAGTTGCTTGTATGTCTGAATTCAGTACTTCAGCTGATATGTTTTCAGGTCTTGCTGCTTTCCCGCTCTTGATTTTTCCGATGGTCATCCTGACTTCTTTGATCATTGGTAGAGTGACATCTATGGGAATGGCTGTGTGCTGCTTCTATGTCCTGTGGATTCAATGGGGCTGGCCTATTCAATAGTTCTACCCACCTGTTCCTCTTTTCTTGAATCTCAGTGATTGGCTTGCCTTCTTTATACATGACTAGTCGCTCTGGTTTACTATATTTCCCTTCTAGTTTGTTGATTGTTTCATATAGCTGTTTCATCTTTCCTTCTCTTGCAGCTTTTTCCGCTGTCGTCGCTAGCTCTTCCACGTATTTCTGCTTGTCGCCTCTAATGCTTTTCTTCACTTACTTGTTTGCTTCTGTGCATTCAGCCTATGCCTTGACTTTCTCTGTTCTTGTTCAGCTGGTTTCGTGTTCTTCCTTTCCTGAATCTTATTGAAGGTTTCGATAGAGATCCATTCCTTATGATGATGCTTCTTGCGACTCAGAACCTTCTGACACGTTGAAGTTAGTGCTTTTTTGATCCATTTTCAATTTTCCTTCATAGTAGTTTTTTTCAGTAGATCTTATAAGGCTTGGAACCTGTTGTCGAGAGCTATGTTGAATTGGTTGAGTTTACCAGTATTTTGAAAGAAGGCTGTATTGAACCTCTGTACTGCTGGTTCTGTAGTTGTCCAGTGCTTCCTTATCTTCAGTTCCATCTTAACAACCACTTGATGGTAACCTAAAGCTGTGTCACACCTCCTCCTGCTTTTCATACCTTCCATGAACCTTCTGAATTTGTTAGCAATGCGAATATGATCAATCTGGTTCTGTATAGTGTGATCTGGTGAGACCCGTCTAGCTTTGTGTACTCGTTTGTGGGGTAATCAGTGCCAATTATAACCGTTTTGTTGAATACACATTAATTTGCAGATCTCTCGCCATTTTCGTACCTTCTCTACGCCTGTAGCTCTTCTAGGGTTACTTCCAGTCTTAACTACGGGTAATAGAGGACGTCTGAACATGGAGCCAGTAAACCTAACCCGTAGAAAACAGTTTTGCTGAAAAAATGAATCGAAACGTAGTTCAACTATATCCAACAGCGAGTCAATTACTTCAGGATAGTAAGATGAAGGGTAGTGACGTGTCAAATTTATAAACACAAGTATAATATAGGATCAAACATCATCACTTCACGACTGCTATAGCGTACCCATCAAGAAAAAGCTTAAATGTTAGACAAAAAATCGCTTCAAGTCTTGAAGCTTATCGTTTAGGTGGCTAACTTCAAAACTTCTGGTGGTATTTAAATGAATGTTATGTGTTCAGCAGACAGTTCATGAACTCACCATCAATAATGTTTACTTATATATATTGAGTTACTGATAAAACACAGATGTGTAAAGATATTCTGAACTTCAAGTGTCAGCGGAACTGTTACTCATTGTTATTACTGATAAAACCGACATACTTTCAGAGAACTTGAAGTATAACCGTTTTCTCACAATTCGACAGTTTTATTAAACAGTATTTAAAGCTAGGGTATTACTTTTTAGTAAAAAATATAATTTTGGACATTTTACGTTGATGTGAGTTTACTTCAAGCATTGAATAGATCTAATGACTGAATCTATTACAAAGATTAATGCACCTGATGACAATGATGAATTTCAAGAGATATTCTAAGATCTTAACACATGTCTGCCCACACTAATGACTAATTTTAAATAACCATATCAACTACTAAACAGTAGTATGAAGTTTACTAAAAACGAATCTAAGGGAGTGGTGAGATAGTTACATTGTATGTGCTGCTTATACAGTCAGATATAAGGAGTATGTTTCTGGCATTGAAAGTAGAATTTTTACTGACATAATGGGAAAATGAGAAGAGAAGGGAAAAGTGAAAGTGGAACGATATAGTTTGTAAAAGACAATTCAAGAAAGGTGCGCAAACAGTGTATTTGATGCATTGTTTTCATATTTCACAAAAACACTGCGTAATTTTGTATAACTTAATTTATTTTCCCTGCCTAAGTCTTCGTTCAGTATAGTATTATCATTTCCGACCAATGAATATTTGCTTTACCTTGATCTAATGTATTTAATTATTTGGATGTCAGGTTCCATTGTGCATCATATTTTTATGCTGGTCACTTTTACTAACTTCATTCCCACATTTACCTTTGATATTTGGACCTCAAATCAAAGTTGGTTTTGGTATTTGGTTATGTGGTCTCTATTTATTAATTAGTGGTGTGCTTGTCTATGCACCAACTGCTACAGAAACCTTATTTGGACCAATTAATATGGCTGTAAATTACGGATTAGTTTTTAATGCATTTGTAAGTAGATTATTTTATTGATATTTATTCGACTTATAAAATTTTCATTTTCCACAAGACGGCTGGAAAACAAGATTTAACCCATGATTTAAACAGAAATCCTTTCGTATCATTTAACCTTTCTAAAACAAAACTCGAGTTAGTAGGCTTGGAACAAATAAGATGTTTGAATTATTTTGCAAGTTTTACCACCTATGATAAAAGTGTGATAATGAAAGAGTGTAGCTCGTGTAGACAAATTTGGTTATGCCAGATGGTTTAATCTTATAAGCAGCCTACCATAAAGAACCTAAAATATTGAAGATGTAATCGTTTAATTAATAAAATATTTAAAAGTGATAAATAAACTTCTATAAACCGTAAAATGATTTTGTCCTGAGTTTCTTTATCTACTTGAGATTTAATTGAGAGGCATAACAGTTTATGTATTCGCACAAACACAAGACCACAAAGATTTTTCTAGAAACGTACATAAACAATAACTTGATCAGATGTATAATTTTCTCATTGTTATGTTTCTAGTAATTACAGTATAAATGAAACGAATCGAAACGTTGTGAATCATACTTGGCGAATGATTTACAGTTTATAAGGCATTTTTTAACAACTTTTAATCAAATTCAGTAGAACTTTTGAGATCCTATTCTAAACTTGAATGTTTTCTCTATGATATTGTTCATCTACATATTATCAAGATGAAATCGAAAACAATAATAATGCAGCAGAGATAGAAGAAACACATGTGAAAATAGTGTAAACTATAAACAAAAACGCTTATACCACTGAGCTGGCATCTAACGGTGTTAATGTCCAAAATTGCGCCACCGGACACCTTTGGCTTCAGTGAGCTGATATCTCACAACAGACCTGGTTGAACTCCACATGTCACGGCTTCTCACTAGAACTCCAGGAAATGTCTCTTAAAGTCAGTCATTAGTGAGCAGATGATTATTGTCAGGAGAGGCTTTTGTCGGTTCGAATCTCACGGGAAGCGGGATCCTGGATGCGCACTACTGAGGACTCCCATACTAGAACGAAACGGCCGTCCAGTGCTTCCAGCTTTCCATGGTGGTCTAGCTTCAATTGACTCATGATTTCAACTATTGAAATTTCTAAAAAATCTCTCCACCAAACCCCTTCTGATAAAAAAGTTTACGTCGATATTGTTGTGCATCAATTGACTTTATAAGAAAAAGACATAGACCATAGTTTTATAAGTAACGAAAAGGTGTTGCTTGTCAAAGTACTTACTTATTTGATTTAGTTTGTTAATCACAAAGCAAGTATATAATGTTTCATTAATATTCCAACACATAAAAACATAAGTTCGAAAAGTATTGAGCTATTCCGTTCAATAATGGTTAATCTTCAGAAAGAATACGAAAACAGTGTCCAAGAAAGACGTAAATTTCAGGTCATTAAATTTGTTAAAAGTAGTAAAAATGGAGCAATTCTGATATTCACCTTATAGTTTTCTAAATATAACTCTGAACATCTTTTTCCCGATATCTTTTCTTCAGTCAAAGTCAGGCAATTAATTAGCTAGTGAAAATTAATTGATAAGTACTATTCAAGCCATAAATTGGTCACGTTTTATCTCAACTCTGACTTTTTTTTAAACCAAATTCTGCAACTGCATATCTTTTACATTACAATTCAAAGAATCCCTATGGTGTAAAATATGGACTAGTTTGCAAATAAACAAAAAAGCTATGATACTTTTTGAACTTTATTCAACCCTGAGATCACTGTAAGATAAGTTTCCTGAAAGCATAATAACAAGTGAGAAATCGTGTTTATCTCCTTGCTGAAAAAGATCAATATGAAAATACTTAAAAATGTCATTTTTTAAATACAACTACTGATTTATATCACCCTAATTTGCAGGGTATTATGTATATGATAGAAAATTGCTAAATATTATCCCTAAACCTTCTAATTTGCCGTTTTCATACATCCTGGAATTCTTTACAAGCTGCTTCTGGGTAATAATTTCTATATAATAATAATAATAATAATTATTGTTATTATCATTATTATTATTATTGTTATTATTATTATTATAATTCAGTTCGTCGATGATAGTTTAGCTTAATGTCAGACAGCTCTGAAACAGTATTTTTACTAATACGTAAAACCAATTTACAGAAAGTCATTTAATTTTATTCATATATGATCATATTTTTCACCCATTTAATTAAGTTTCCGAGTTAATCTTTTGATAATTCTGACTTATGAATAACCATATGTCCCTGCAACAGCTAAGTACCTGTTACTAGGTCAACCCAAGCTTTCGAATAAAGTATCATCACTACCTCCAAAGTTCGACAAACAAATAGAGGTTTTTTCAAAAAATCTATGCAGCAATTACTACCACTTATTTATCGCCTTTTACTTCGTCTTGTTTGTTTTTTATTGCTAATAATAATGTAAATTAACTTCATTAAACCATTTCCGGACAAATTCCTTAATATTTATCAACGGATTTGCCCTTATATGAGATTCTGTTTTGATACTAATCTTGGCGAATAGCATCACAATCAGCATTTATGCGACTATTTATAAGTATTCTCAATCGACAATTAAAAAGTGGACTAATTTTTTAAGAAAATTCGTTTGATCAAAAATTTGCTGTACGATGGACCAGATTGTACAGCGATTTTCATATAATACGTGTAGCTAAGTAGTTACTATTTTGTGAACTAAGAGTATTCAGTTTTAGTACCTTTTTATTATTAATTATTTTCATTATACCCTAGGTTAGTATAGTACATATGCACACTTATATTTTATGCTATGTTTCCTATACATACACAAATAGGTATTCGGTGGTCTATTCGTTTCGCTATTGTCCATCCTAATTCCACAGTTTCATGAATGGGATAATCTATTTTATCTATGTGCTGCAATGTGTATTTTAGGTACGTTATAACAAAAACCTTTAATTGTATCATGTATCATTATCCTGTAACAACTTCAAGAACGGAATGGCTCACTCGTTATAAATAGTTAAAATCAGTTTAAAACGAGCATTGTTTTCTATTAATTGGTGGAGGTTTCAACTAACTTAACAAAACATACGTTTCTACCATGAACTCGTATTCCGAAATAATTAACTTAGCACTTAGATAAATATCAATTGTATTCTAGTTATACTGACTTCACTATTTTATAGAAACGTGCAATATCAGTGACAGGAAAGTGTATAAAGCATGACCAAAACTCGAATTACCAAAACGAAACATTTTTCAACCTTAAACGTTTCAAGCAAAAATTCAATTCTGACCTACATTTTGTTTCTTGGCTAAAACTGTCATTTGGGTGCTAACAATCATTCTGAAAATACGTACGATTCACTGTACATTGGTGACCTGTATAAAAAAGAATGTCCTGATGTTCTGATATGAATTCGTAGTTTTAAAGGTTTGTCATGTAGGATGTGACAAAAGATTACAGTAGTCGATATCGGCTATTGGTGAATTTGTAAAATAAGCGTATTCAGGCTCCCTTGAGGCACTTTTTGTTCAAATTAGAAAATGATATTTCCGGAATTAAACAAAAGCTTTAAATATTATAATCAACTGTTTATTACCTCCATATACGCAACGTCACCTTTCTGCAGAGCATTGCTAAGAAGTAATTTCGACGTAATAAATCAAAACGATGAGCTTAAAAAATTAACTTACCGGTTTGGAAAATCGTGAATTACGGTGAGTGAAATCGGGACTTAAAACTTAAGTAATTACACTTTATGTACATAATGCGATTTGTTTTCATCGATACAATTGTTAGCACTCCAGTACGTTACAAAAGGAAGTGTAGTATACACAAAACATGTATTATTTATCAAATATCTTTCACTTAAACAGCTATCAGGTCTAAAAATTGGCTAGTGTGTAATGTACCGTGTTGGAAGTGTAACCATTCACTTTAAAAAGATAAATATTGTCATGTGTTTATTATTATCACTGAGAGTTCTTTGATATGAACCTATCAGAACAAAACGTAGTCTGCTTTTGGACATCCACATAACATTTTACTTGACTTTTTGTATTCTTTGTGATAAATTTCCAGTCGACCTTTTCAAGCTGAACAAAATTGACTGTGCACATATCTCACATAAAAACGGAGAGTGGCGATAATGTAAAGTGAATAATTCACATATCGGAGACTATTAATTGCTCAGTACACTTGATCTAATCATTTGCTTACCATAGATGAAATCAAGGAGAACAATAGTGGTGTTAAGTACGTGTACGTTAACGAGAACACATCTAGAGTAAGAGGTTTTATGCCTACTTCTGAAAACCATAGAATAATAAGTTAGGTTGGTTAGATGTTTTTTACATAATGATGGATTATTTCGAAAATAATAATAACTTGCTTTGCTGAGTAGTTGTAGTAGTGATTCTGGTTAATAGATTTCTTGTTGAGTAGTAATAATCATTTCATCAACCACCAACTATAAGCTCATTTCCCGTAAGTATTTAATTTAATGGCATAAGCCATAGATATTCAGCCACTAATCAGACTTCTTGTAACGATTTGTATTTTGGATAGAGCGTAGTAAAAATGAGTAGGTCTCAGTTTAGACCTTTACAATTTTAAATTTTAATCCATTTAGTAAAACATTTATTTAGTTTGAATCTATTTCCTTCTGTGCAAAAGTTAGTCATCAGGTAGTAAGTTTTGATCAACTGTATGTTGTGTTTAGAATACTTTTCAATCTCAGTTATAACTTTTGTCTGTTACTTTTAATGATTATTACGCACAAAATAATATTGCATTATACTCACTAAATGAAAATATTTCTTTTACCCTAGCTTTATTAATTGTGCCATGGATATATGATAGGAAAATGCCTAAATATTTCAGCTTGTTTCGATTTTATAGGCAAAGTCACAGTTGAATTCTTCTAATAACTTGTTCGACAAATACTGTTATCCTGAAAAATTATCATAGTTTTTTTAACAGGGAAACACGAAACTTATCTTTTATTGGTGTCATTTCAAAAATATAATTTTATCTGAGCAAATTGACAGAATTAATAACCTCTTTTTATAAAATTAGCATATCTCAGAAAATACATGGTCCCTTTCATCAATTTACATTTGATTTGCAAAATTTATCAATCGCATGTACCAGATAATCATAATGATAATAATCAGTTAATACATTATAATTATGTTATGGAAATTTTTTACCGTCTGAACTAATTTACAAAATTCAGGCGAATGTTTAGCCGAATTCATTGTTATTTAATTGAATGATGAGTATTTTCATACTAGCAGGGTTTCTTTACTTAAAATTTTTCCACAATAAATGCATTGGGTAGATGCATATTCATTTACTAAAAGATTTAATGAAGTTCTAGGATTGAATATTGTCATCTATATTTACAGAATATACAAATATAACTTTATGAATGTATGTGTTGAACTATATTATTTATGCTCGAACCTGGCTATCCCATATAATAATATCTCAAACTCTAGATTGTTGGTGTTCTAAGCCAAATCACTTGAACACTTCAGTCAGTCAGCTACAACGTAGGACCAGGCACATATGTGCATCGGTCCAGGTTGCCATACCGCATCAGCACAACAAGATGAACACCGGATTCATAGCAGTGGTTAGGTCAAAGGTAGTAATATGTAAGAGAAAGATTGCATATAAAGATATAGTACAAGAAGAAAGAATTGGTTCGTAGAAAGAAAGATATGAAGTGATTTTAATCTCTTAGTTTAAGGGAAGACAGGGAGTGTATACACCGACGCCATTGTGATCGATTCTGAGCCATGTCACCAAGAATCTCCAACCATTGGTTACGAAAGTCACGCGGACCCCAACCAAGTAGTCTGCATCTACCAACGTGGCTCACACTAGAAGTTAGTGACTTCAAGCACTGATGCCACGTTTTGGTTTGGCCGCCCCTAACTTTCTTCCAACCATCCCCTACCCCGGTTAGCATTGCACGTCGTGGTAATCGGTGTTCAGGCATACGTAACACGTGACCCAACCATCTCAGTCGATGAAGATTCATAACCTCATCAACTGATTTACCATCATTCCCTAATACCCTGCGTCTAACCTCACTATTACTTACCCGGTGTTCCCAGCAGACGCCAGCAATATTTCTAAGGCATCTGTGGTCAAATACTAATAGCTTACGAGTGTCTTCTACTCTTAATGGCCATGTTTCGCTGCCGTAAAGTAAGACAGAACGGACTGCCGCGCAGTATATTCGTCCTTTTATTGATGGACGGATATCTCGTCTTCGTCATAGGTGACGCAAGTTGGCAAAAGCCAAGTGAGCTTTTCGAATCCGTGCTGAGATTTCGTCAGATACCAACCCATTAGGGCTGATCAGACTTCCAAGATAAGTGAAGTCGTCAACGCGTTCGACTACTTCACTCCCTATCCTTAGTTCAGGTGTTGACGCAGACCAGTCCTGAAGCAACAACTTGCATTTAGAGGGAGAGAAGTGCATTCCAAGCATTCTGGCATTGTTGCTTGGTGCTACCAGAAGACTCTGCACTTTGTCAGCGTCTTCACCAAACAGGACTATGTCATCTGCGTATTCTAAGTCGATAAGTGGACCTACTGGAAAGAGATCAATACCCGAGAAAGTTATTTCCATCAGTAGATCTATGATGAAGTTAAACAAAAATGGGGAAAGTAGACAGCCTTGACGGACACCACTTGAGGTTGAAAAGTAGATCACATTTTGCTACAAGCTCTGACTCGACTAGTAGTGTTCGAGTAAAAAGCCTTCACAAGGTTTATGTACTTCTGTGGTACGCCTTTCAATGACAGACACTGCCACAGAATCTCGCGGTCTACCGAGTCAAATGCTGCTTTTAAGTCGAGAAAGACCACCATTGTCGGACGCCGATAAGTATGCCTGTGTTCTAGAATCTGACGAATGGTGAATATGTGATCGATGCAGCCACGACCAGGTCTGAAGCCAGCTTGAGTCTATAGTGACTCACGTGCAATTGAGTTTAGTTCAGTCAAGGCCTTTTGTTGACCTATTTAATGGACAAAGTCATCCATGATATAACAACTTGTTGTACTATCTTTATTATTACGCTTGTATGAAATACATATGCTTGAACATTGTTTAGCGCCTACGCATGTATTCATTCTGCTAGCTTCATTATTAACTGCTTAGTCTATTTGCTGACTCATCCATTTTCCTATACATATATATATGTGTACATTTTCACCCATTCACAACAACTACTACTACTACTACTACAACTACTTGCTACTGCTACAATCGTAGTTCGCTTGCTCATTCATTTTGCCTCTCTGCTGTCTGGTCCGAATTATCTACTAAATAAACTGTAGTAGCTGCTTCTTTTTGCCTTCTGATTTCAAACATCGTTGAAGATTATACGATAACGGTTCGAGGGTGATTAATTATCGAAGCACAGCCACTACAGAATTGGTAATCCCGACGTGAGAACGGAAGCAAATTTTGGTGAAATAATCAAATCCCAAAAATCCGATTCTTTTCATCTCAATTTGGATTATCAAATGAACTATAATTACAACTGTGGATTTATATTATTATTCTAATTACACTTACATTATTTCGCAAACATTATTAAACGTCACAATTATAATCATAATAAATAACAATTATCCATAAACAATTGATATATTGGTGCAATTTAGTAAGTCTGTTCCATTTTATAAATTGTGCCATTTTTTTATTATCATTGTTTTTGCCCATCTATTCTTCCTTGTGACTGTTAAGTTATTTTCGTGTGCTACCTAATTTTTATAAGCATGTCTTATGAAAACACAGCTTCAAGCGTACAGCAAGCCTCGTCCGTGAGGTCTCTTAACCTCCCTGCCCCTTCATTTAAAATCACAGACCCAAAACTTTGGTTTATAAGACTTGAAAATTATTTTCTCGCTAACCGCATTCTTTTGCAAAAGGATAAGTTCGGCCTGACAAGCACACTACTCCCAGACGAAGTAGCTGACAGCGTTCGAGAGGCACTAGCAAAACCAGACACAGAAAAACCATACGACGTGCTAAAAGAAGCAGTAATTAAAACTCTCTCTCTCAGTGACCAACAAGCCGTCGAACAACTTCTTAACCAAGTACAAATTGGAGATAGAACCCCATCACAACTAAAAAATTATATGAAAAGTCTACTTGGCGATAGACACATTGACAGTAATCTCTTTTATCAGCTGTGGCTCCGCCGACTCCCGGCAAAAATACAGCAGATCCTAGCGGTGGGAGATACGGATGCTGATTTAGACAATATAGCAAAGATAGCCGATAGAATATACGAAAGAAGCAAGCAAGTGAGCCCTCCACTACACAACGTGACGGTAGACGATAGACTTGATACTCTACAGAAGGAAATAAATGTTTTATGCCGCAAACTCACAGAATTAACGCAGAGAGAAAAGCCACGAAGGTCATCGCGAGATCGCTCGCGTGAAAGGACCCGGTCAACTTCTAGACGACGCACAACTCCCGCGATATGTTGGTATCATCAAATGTTCGGCTACAGGGCTAGAAAGTGCCTACAACCTTGTAGATTTAACAGGGCTAGTAACCGATACTCACGAGTATCAATGGCAACGGCATCAACACACATAATGCCTGAAAATAGTCGCCTCTTTTATATACAAGACCGAACCACTGGCGCACAATTCTTAGTTGACACTGGAGCGGAAATTAGCGTAGTACCTCCATTTAATGAGGAAAGAAAAAACATTAATCCGTCATTAGTGCTAAGAGCAGCAAACAAATCAGATATTAAGACATATGGTAAACGGAAATTGTCCCTAGATTTTGGACGTGGCGCTTCATACCGCTGGAACTTTGTCATAGCAGACGTATCGATGCCCATAATAGGCATAGATTTCTTATGTAACTTTGACCTGCTAGTAGACTCTCGACGACACAGACTTATAAACGGCAGTCAAACCACTTCGATAAGAGGAATACTTACGGAAGCCGTTTCAATGAACCTTGTGATAGATAAAAGTCGTGGTGATCCATATAAATTGTTGTTAAGAGAGTTCCCTGAACTCGTAAAAGTAACATACAATAAAGCGGATCTCAAACATTCTATTCAGCATCACATCGTAACCAATGGTCCACCAATCAATGCAAGACCAAGAAGGTTAGACCCCAAAAGACTAGCCATCGCAAAACAGGAATTCGACAAGCTAATGAGGCTAGGCATTATAAGGCCATCGAGCAGCCCGTGGGCATCCCCGCTACATATGGCCCCGAAAAAGAATGGAGAGGTTAGGCCATGTGGAGATTACAGAGCACTGAACAAACAAACAGTAGCTGACAGATACCCTATACCGCACATTCATGATTTTACCTACAGTATAGAGGGCACTACTATCTTCTCGAAGATCGACTTAGTCAGAGCATACTACCACATCCCTGTTGCCCCACAAGACATACCGAAGACAGCAGTAACAACCCCATTTGGGCTATATGAATTCCTGCGTATGCCTTTTGGACTGACTAACGCGGCACAAACCTTTCAACGGTTTATCGATCAGGTCATTAGAGGTTTACCTGGGGTATACGCGTATATCGACGATTTATTAGTAGCTAGCACCACTAAAGATGAGCATATACAACAACTACGGCAATTATTTATGCGACTCAGAGAACATGGTATTTCTATAAATATTGAGAAGTGTGAATTCGGAAAGGAATCTTTACAGTTCCTAGGTCACAATATAACTTCTCAAGGCATCACACCAATAGCAACAGAAGTCGACGCCATTAGGAATTATCCCCTACCCGACTCATGGAAAAAGTTACGCCGATTTCTCGGGTTAATAAATTATTACAGACGATTTATCCCGAATTGCGCGTCAATATTGCAACCACTAACAGATGCATTACGC